CCTTTGACTCAGACATAAATATATTTTTCATTATCCATTCAGCAAGAAATTACAAATAATAAAAACTACATAAATGTGAATTTATAGTATACTAGGTAGTCACAACGTATATATGTTTTACCAGATCTAGCTCTTGCAGATGGAATTGTCCTTCTAGACTCAACAGAGACTGTCGACTCACTGATTCTATCAATCCTGCTGTATGGTGGAAAAAAGTGGAAACGGGTGTCAAACAAGCAAATGTAAAACCAACTGAGATAGTTTATTAGCTAGTGACAAATGAGTAAGTCTTGCATATAACTGGAAACTTGAATTCATGTTGTGGCGTCGTCTGTCAGTGTCCTCAAGATGTTGGTGCAGTGATGCTTCAGGAATGAGACTCTGCATGCATGACTTTGGACAAACTGCAGCCTAAGACAGCACAACCGAATCCTGAGGAAATCTTGGCCCAGTCACAGTGAAATCCCCCCGATCTCTGGACAGCATCTCTTTCATAGGGTTCTGGTCAACACAAAGTAAACGTTATCACATAAATATGTTCCAGATATTGGCATGCCTCCTACTGCATCTAGAGTTCAAAGATTAAACTTGTTTTTTACAGTCGGTGTGACTGTTTCTCTCAAGCATTTTTAAAACGAGTCCTCCTATACGATCAGACACTACAATGTTCTCATCACTAGAAAACCCCACACCTTGGGCCACTGAAGCCACCAACTTCCAGTTACAACGATCCATTAGTGTACTTTACACAACAGTCCAAAGTTCACTGTTCCAGCTGAAATTGGCATGAATCAATATTTAATAATCATATGAACATGCTTACGGTAATATTTTTAGCCTGTAATTGGAATTCTTTTCATAAGTCTGTTGATTACTGCAATCAAAATGTCTTCAACTATTATATTATATTATATTGTTGATGGCATGTGGACTTTAAATTTAACCTCTTAACTGTCACAAGGACACTTTTTTTGTGCGAAGGCTGAGGGGTGTTGTGGTGAGCTATCTGCAACTACACATTTATCTTGTCATTATCTAAGTTGTTTTATGTTTATTAACATATGCTTCAGCCATTCAGCTTTTCATTTGAAAATTGTTGCACAAGAGCTGAATGATTGGAGCCATTACATCCAACGTGCCTTTAAATTTTTCCATCTCTGTGTCCTTTATTTATATATATATATATATATATATATATAAATATATATATATATATATATTTTTTTTTTTTTTTTTTTTTTTTTTTTTTTTTTTTTTTTTCACATTTTCCTCCATCCATCTGTTTGACAGACCAGATATAGATGTTTGCTGTCACAGTGCAGATGCAGCGCTGAGTCACAGTAATCGTTTTACTGAAGCTTTCACCTGAGCTCTGCATGCCCTCGTGTTTGCCAGCAGTGTCACTCACTAATCTTTGTAATTTCTTTGAAAGATGTGTCCAGGGCCTCAGCTGTTTCCTCTTTATTTTTATTGCTGTCACACCTGGTGCTGTGGAGGCTGGAAAAGAACAGATGACAGCAAATCTCTGACAGATAGAGAATTCAACAGGTGGAGAAGCTGGCGGTGCTGCACTTGCACCGCAGTCATTATCTGTAAACTGTTTTATACAATTCTTTAAAGTCAGGCTTTTTTGGCATCTCAGTGTGACATGAGATAAGGAATGGTGGAGCAGAAGGTTTAAAGTCAATAGGTGGCTGTCACCCCTCCAATAGAGGATCTAAATTGGTGAGGAGGCGTGATGATTCATGATGCTTCCATGATACTGCCCTCAGATATGTACACGTCACCATGGGACATGGCCAGCTAATGGGGTTAAATTAACTTAGATCCAAACAACAACTACAACCTAACATGGTATAGAGGCCATAGAGCCATTCTTGCTTTTGCTCAGACTGTTTGTTGTGTGACTACCTGTTTAAAACTAAATCCATAAGAGTTGTTTCTGTGTAACATTGTTTTTTTTTTTTTAAGTACAATCGGTGTGTTTCAAAGTTCTTGCATCGTAACCACAGAATGCATGCTTTATTATCTCCCTGTCTAGCACTGTTTAACCAGCTTATTTTGCTGTTAGCTCAGTTATTATCTATGCACATGGGAAATCTCACTAAGTGACTCATATCAGGCCATTGTGTAAAAATGGCAGAAAGAAGCTGGCGTGTAATAGAGGCATTTAAAGATGTAACTCCAAAGACGATACAGTATATTGACTGAATGAAAAGAATACAAACTCAAAGAAATCTATATTTTTTATCTGCTCTTCATGTCTTCTTTTTTATTCTCCACACTTATTTTCTCCAATGACTGCATTGTACTCCCTCTCCTTCTCTTAGATGTGTTTTTGTTAGTACCCCAATCCACTTAATTCCCATTCCTGTTCCATCTAAGTGCTTATATTCCTCTCATCTTTCTTGCTATCCTTGTTATGTTCAGCTATATAATTCTGTGAGTCCTCCATCACATCTGGGGCTCTTTCTATCACACTGAGTAAAAATTCTTCAGTTTTTTTTTTCAATATAATTTTTTTCCTTCCCAATCAAATTCTCAAAGTCTGCCTTGCTGAGCTCCTTTCTTTCTTCTCTTCTTAAAAACATTCTGAAAAAAAAAAACCCATCATGTGCTTTGAAAAATTGGAAAATCACAGTTATTTTGTACCATTACTATAATTACCATAAACAAACAGGACCATTACAGAGAAATTTGCATTCCCAAACAGCCTCCCCAAAGCTTTTTGTGCCATGTGTTTTCAGCTAAAATGTGCAGGACAGTGTGACTGTCAGAGAATGCTTTTCTTTTATCCTTTACTGAGGAAAAGCCTTGGCTGTGTGGTAATGAATGCTGGTCCAAGAACCAAATTGCTGAGACGAGTTGAAAAATTTAAGCATGACTGACTGACTCTCTAACAGTGGTTAATCTGATTGAGATTTCATTATGCCATCCACTTAAATTGTACAAAACAGACCAAATTGTTGATATGTGGCTGAAATAATTGACGTGTAGGTCAAAGAATTAGCAATTTACTTTTGAACTGCTGACGTGTACTGGACAAAATGCAACGCAAAACAAGCGACTTGAGCTTCTGTTTGGTATTTTATTATTTGTGCAATTCGCCAGACGAGGTGGCAGCACAGTGTCGTCATAATTGAGAGTAGAGATGAGCAGTTATCCCACTGTTTATCTTCATTATGATTCATGTTTTATCACAGTGAGAATATTGATTTATTGTGACAACAATCACCCAAAAACTAGTGATAGTTTGTCTTCATATTCTTTTGTTAGTTCCATTAGTGCAACAATAAATAAGAATATTTTTTAAATGACAGTTGTTGTTGTCTTTGAAATCACACCAGTTAACTTATATGGTGCCCAGAAACAGCCTACTCATTATTAGTAAATGGCTGTTTGGTTCTGTTTGCAGGGGGAGGAGTTAGAGCAAGTGTTGTGTTCATGAGGCGTTTATGCAGTGATGCACAATAACATACAATGTATTGCTAAAAACGACTTCATGGGAGGTTTTTGTTATCACTTTATGGTTGTCACAATAAATATAAAGTATTTTGAAAAATATTTAAGTCCATACTGCCCATCCATAATCGACAGCTATACAGTGCTCTTAAGTCTTCCACACATTATTCCTACCACTGTGGCCAAATATCTCATTGTTTCTTTCTCACCTTAAACATCTCTGGAAACAATTTGAATTGTTTGGATGTCACCAATAATTTTTATTGCCAATACTTTATTAGTCTCAGTTCAGAATTATACACCTGTAGCTACTTTATTGTCGTTACATCTATTAAAAAAAATTGCATAAATCAAAACAAATGCCTTTATTTTTGCTTGCTCTATTGAATTCAATTGTGACGTTCTCATGCAAAGACCTCTTCTATTTGAAAAGATGCCAAATCCAGAAAAGTCGAATAAATAGTTTTTCTCCTCATGAAATGGCTTTGCTGCAGAAGGAAATGTATGATTAGGATCTTAGTTATTGCTTTGCCTGAAATCGCTCCTGTCTGGATTTCTGTCCATTGCACATTGATTAATGTGTTTATGATTCTGTTCCTCTTGACTTCTTGTCACTTTGCTGGAACTGTTTTTTGATTCTTGCTCTATGGGTGTTTTTGTATTTGTCTCCATATCTGTGTGCGTGTACTTGTGTGTGTCTTTCTGACTATATGTGACTGTTTGTTGCTTTGCTGTGTGTGTGCGTGGGTGTGCGTGCGTGCGTGTGTGTGTGTGTGTGTGTGTGTGGAAGTGTAGGGTGAGGTCTGAAGCCACTGAAGCCTCAAAGCCCCAGGATGCTCGAAAGAGAAAATGAACACTCACTTGTTAAAATTGTTTTTAGCCACACAAACTCAAACAGAAGACACAACACACATCCATGCTCCAGCCTGAACTTGTTTTTTTCTTCATTCAGCCTCATAGAGAAGATTGTAACCTTCAGTCAACCAGATAAAAAGTTTTTCTTTCTGCGTGTCTGAGAAAGTGTAACAGATGGAGAATTTGAGATTGCATTAAGGATATTTGTCGAACTGTAAAGGTGTGTTTAAAACTTCAAATTCCCTTCCTCTATAATTAACTTCTTCAAGATTAGGCAAAATCTATAATTTTTTCTCCTGCTTTTTGGCTGAATAATTTGTTGGGGTTCATAGTAATGGAAAGAGCATGCCGCAGTACATAAAGTGGCTGTAAAGCTGCAAAAACAACAACCAGACTGGTGGGGGCACAGTGACGTCACCATGTAGAGTCAAAGACATCTAAAGCAAAACACCTGAGGACCATTTTGTCATAATCACTCCCACTTTACCGACACTCTTAAGCCTAAGAAAATTGGGATATACTATGCTGTCCTTGAATGAGATTTTCTCCCCACCAGTCATGTCAATTTGTCAATTTTCGTCTTTTCCCCGTGAATGTTTCTTTTCTCTCCCTCTGCGATTGTACATTTAGAAGCACATTACACTGCGTAACACCCACTCTTCACTCCATCTGTTTCTTTCCAGGGTGATGAAGTGCTGACCGTCATTAAAACCAAAGCTCAGTGGCCAGCATGGCAGCCACTTAACCTGTAAGTATCACACAATTTCAAAACAGAGGGTACTTCTGTAAGAGATGAGATTAAACAGAAATATAAGTGAAAAGTGTGTAAACCAGGAGTATTTATTTGTTGTTTTTTAAAGTGTTTTGCTGATTGTGAGGCACTTCTCCAACTCCAATATACAGTGAAGGAAATAGAATCATTATATACATATATAGCTACTGGATAATTCATATTCTTGCCTCTGAATTTACTACTGTGTTCAGCAATGTGGGTATTTAAAGTTCTTCACACTTTCTGATAGTATCAGTCTTCTTAACTGAATTTGAATTGTATGGCTGTTGAAATAAATAATTCAATTGACACTATGCTTTAACACAGGCATGTGAATTTAAATATTATTCTTAAATACTTACTGAAATACTTGTATGTCCTAGAAACACTATTAACTGATGTCTTAATGATTTGTAAACGTGCTCAGTTATTTGTATTCTTTACAAATTATTGCAATATCAAACATATTTGTTTATATTATTCTATCAAAATGTTCATATGATGGCTTATTCATTTATTAAATTGTAACACTTTCAGTCCTTGGTATTATTAATTAATATTAGCATCACGTTAGTGTCACCTTAGTGTTACCTTTATTCCTGCAGATTAGTCAGGAAGCTGTTTTTTAATGTAACTCTAATTGTCTAAGGACAATTCTCTTAATTGTATGTGAGCACAGCAATAACAAGTTGTCACTTTGTGTTTCTGCCGAAACTAAAAACTTGTTAGCATTCAGATTGGGATCTGAAATGATCTAGAAGAGCGGCTGTAGCAGACCTCCTCAGTTGTTGGAACACATAAGACAAGGTTCTGAACCAATGGATTGAAACAAAAATTGAGCAATAAAGATGGCTTTCCCCAGCAAAAGTTTGGGATCAACAAAAAAAAAAAAAAAAAAAATACACAGGTGTACATATTTTTTTCATTATTTTGACCAAATACTAATATTTTAACTATTTCCGATACCTAGGAAATTGCTGGAGGTGAGTGGCATCCTTCGATTCATAATAAAGCTTAGTTTAATTCACCGAAGCTAAACAGTTATTTGCTGATCTTTGTTGTGCTTCTTAGAATGTGTTAGTGATTGAAAAACAGATGTTAGTGGAAAGATGGGACTTATGCTGCAGCAACTGTGCATGTGTTCGTATATGTGCGGTATTTGCTAGGTAGGTGTGAGCAAACATGTTTTCATCTTGCTTCTTGAAGAAATGTGTTCATCTCATTTTGTTGTAACTTCTGTTGAAAAAAAAAATTATTTGCTCACTGAACACTCAGAAGTCTGGACAACCTCGACTTTACTTTTGAGACAAACAAAGAAACGGATGATTATATTTTGTTGAGAAACTACATGGAGACGACTACACAATTATTCAAAGCATATTCCAAGAACCAACAAACCAAACAAACATGACTAAAAATAACAAAGAAAGTTCATCATCTGTAACAGATGATCAAAAGAAAAGCATGAGACACTTTATTTCCTTTGTCCTGGATGTATCTTCAGATGATGTGGTTTATACATGAATGGCAGAATTAATCTGCATCATAAGTAGCAATTAGCACAATTAATAAGCAGAACATAGAAGTTGTTTGAATAAAGTTTCAGCTCCAGCACAATCAATGAGCTATTGTTGTGCATGAATATTAATAAACCTTATTGTTTTCTGTCGGCATCGTTTATATGCTTGGTAAGTGGCGTGCTGACTTGTTTGAATATTAACACACCAGCATCCTCTAGAATTAGTTCAAGAGCAATTAGGATCTTATCACGACTGCAGCCCTGGAGGCTTTATGTGCACACTCACTTACACGCCGACTCTTGTGTATCTTTCACTAAACATCTGTTTAATTGCCCTTCCTCGAATTGTCAGCAATTTGTGATAGCTTGTGGAACTCTTATTTTTATGACTACCAGCAGTCACATATTTGCATGCACCTGCAGTCACACTCTCAGAGAATCTGAAACATTGTTTCTATTCTGCAACTGTGTTTGCTGAGATGTAATGTTTTTGACCCGTGTATGAGTTAGAATAAAAAGTTTAAGGCCCTAACAAAAGCTCTTGCAACCTAATTCTTTCCCGGATGTCTCAATGCAGCCTTGGCTTTATGGCTTCGCAAGATGATTTCAGCATAAACAGACATTTTCAGCTTCTGATTAGCTATTTTGTGGATGCAATTATCAAGCAATTAGCAGTCTAACGGGGGTCAGAGGTCAAAACATGTAAACTGTTACATTTACATGCAATTAATTGAGATTCCAAAGATTTCCTGAATTTGCAAATGATTATGTATGTGAATAAATTACAGACCTGGACAAAGTTTTTGAGGCTAACAGATATTTGACTTTTCATTAACTCTTCTGTTTTAGGTGTGTTTTTTTGATCTTTGAAACACTTCAAGCTGAAAAAAAAGGTTTAATTTCAAAAATGTTCCTTGTTTTTGTGCAAAAATTGCAGAACTCGGTCTTGGACAATGTTAGGATCCCAATTTTTCTTCATCAAAGTGTTTTTTGGCTAAATCTAAGTAGTAAGTACTTTTACTAGTAAGTGAACCGACCGCCTTTGATGAGAGACAAACCCAGACATGAATGGCTTTAGCCTGCCTTGCTGACTTACTGACTGATGATTCAGGACTTATGGTAATATTAACCTTTTCTATTCACATTTTCTTCTCCAAAGAGCCTGAAGGGGCCATCATCAGAAAAAGAACGTTATCCCAGTTCTTCGCTGACATTTCCTGGAACTTCTTGCAATGTGTCAGCCTGGCCTTGATGGTTTTCTTGGAGAGAAGTGGCTTCTTTTCTGTCCCTCCTGGCATAAGGCCAGAATCCAAAACTCTCAGTGAAACAACTGTGACTCCTGAGCAATCTCTGCACTGACAGCAATCCGATCCCTCAGTTCAGTCATCTTTAGAATATTGCACTTAGTGGCCTGCCTTGGGTGGCTTGACGTTTCCTTCACTGCAGTACAAGCTTCCTTCTTGGAGTTGTTGACGATTCTAGCAAAAGATTAATTTATGCTAAGTTTCACGGGAAGCAATATTATTGCCTGTGATGATCTTTTGCTGTGAACCGATGATGATGGCACGCTTTCTCTCAGGTAACATGGTTAACAGAAGAAGACTGATTTTAAGCACTATGCAAATGGATGATTGTCAGTTGTTAAAACAAGATTTTTAACAACAAGACTTTTTGGCACAATTTCCAAAAAAATTGAAGGTTTTGCAATGGCCAACTCAAAGTCTGGATTTGAATATGATTGCTGTGGTATGACCTTATGCAGCCATTTGTTTTTGATCACCCCCAAATGTGGTGAAAAAACTGATTGCCAGTCATGAGAAAAGCTCGATTGTACTTGCCGCCGCCAAGGGTGACTAAACCAGTTATTAGCTTTAGAAGGCGATTACTTTTGATGCAGAGCGTTAATGATTTGGATAACTTTTATCTTTAATAAATGAAATCATTATTTCAAAACTGCATTGTGGTTTTACTTCAGTTATTTGTGTGTGATAATAAAACGTCTCTGACGATGTGAAACATTAACATGTTTTATTTTCTCACCACCTAAATCAGGCGAGCTGCTCCCTCGGCAGAGTTTTCTGTGGATCAGACCCGGCACCTTATGTCCTTCCTGACTATGCTCGGGCCCAGCCCAGACTGGAACGTGGGGCTGTCCGGAGAGGACCTTTGTACCAAGGACTGTGGCTGGGTCCAGAGACTTGTCGCAGATCTCATACCGTGGGATGCAGGCACAGACAGCGGTGTCACATATGAGGTACTATTTTATTACATCTTTTTATGTCAGACAGTGATAACTACCAAATTAAGAATCCTGCCACAAAGAAGCATCTTGTTGACAATTTATAAAGCCTGTCATCACGACAGCCAATAAGGAATCACAACATCAGTGAGGAAAACGGGTCATTAAGTGAAAAAAATGAAACGTGGTCACATTAGAGACGCATTACTGACGTCTTTGCTGTTCAGCATTGCCATCACAGTGAAACATGAAGCAATAGACAAATGTTGTCAGACAATTAGGATTTATCTTGTTAATGGTCTCTCAAAATGCAGCTTTAGCATTTCAGTCCAGTTAAGGGGAACATTGCTGGACTTTGAGTCCTTTCTGTTTCATTTATCCTGTTGTACATTTGCTGTTGTGCTTGGGATTATTGTCCTGTTTATAACCCAGTTTGGGACAATCATCAGCTGTCAGACAGTTGAAAATGTTGGCTTACAGAAGAGTTCATAGTAAACTTAAGTAACTCGGTGTGCAAAGATCCTAACAAGCCCATATCATCACCACCGTGCTTGAAATATTTTCCACTTGTGAATGACCTTTGTTAGTTTACGTGATACAACAATTCCTCCTCTTTATTCATCGCAGTTGTCTGTTTGGCCTGACTTGGAGCTAGCAGACATAACAGCTCCATTTTGTATTTACTTAAGTTATTTGTATGTGATGGTAAATGGAAGCTTACATCTTCCATAAGAGGCAGCAAGGTTGGAATGTTAGCTTATACCGAACATCTTTTTAAGGGCAGTCTATCAAACCTATAGACTTTCTACATGTTACTCTGTACAATGATGGAAGGACCACAGGCAGTAGGTCTAAATCAGTCTGTTTATAAAACACAGCAACCGAGTGCTTTTCATTTTCGCTTTCTGGTACTGTGAAAGGTGTCTTTAGATTCTGCAGTCATGGTATGAAAGAGGCTTATCCATATTCACCAAGTGTTTTGAGACTAGAGCAATTTATTTATAGCTTGTGTACTCATGAATACGCATGGATCTCATCCCGCAGAGGAGAGATGGTAAATACTTTCCAAAAGTCTCACTCACATGAAGCCAGGTGTGTTACTTTTGAAAGGCGAAGTGTTTCTTCAGTGTTCAGAGCTTCATTTTAGCCTTGTGAGCTTTTTGGTAGTGTCACTTCTGCAAGCATTAGCACTCACAGCAGGGGAAAGTTATTCTTTATGAAAGTCAGGTTAATAGTAGAACAAAGACAAAACCGTGGGATTTTATTTTTGATCTTTCTTAAGATTGATGTGAGTTTGAAGAATTTTCCTGTCTTCAAACTCATAGAACATAGAAATATTGTCATGGTTTAAAAAAAAAAACTTTCAATTGATGAAAAACATAATGTTGCTAAAGTATTCATTCATCCATAGTATTGGTCAAAATGATGAAACGCACCCAGTAAAGCTGCATGTTGACTTTAATAGGTCATGTTGTTTGCTGTCATTGATGTTTGTCATGTTTCTTTCTTTACATTTTCTTTTTAAGTGCATCAGAAAACACACGCTTTGACTCACCTGAAAAGAGAGCTGCGTCTCTCTTATTAAAGCAGAGTAGGAAGGGAATCACTGATGCATGGCAGAGATCAAATAATAAAACACCTGCCATTCTGGCTGCTAATAAAATCTATGGGTTATTGTTGCATTATAACTTTTTTATTGACTCTTTTTGACAAATTGTGACTAAGTTGTTCTCATCATCAAGGAATAATAATGTCATTGTGCTTTTTTTGAAAAGCTTGTTTTACAATCATTCAGTCATTTTATGCTGCAATTGGATTAGTGTTCTGGTTTCATGAATGACTTCTTGGTTCCAAATTTCAGCTTCTTATTTTCAATTACTAACCATTGTTTCAAACCTGTACTCTCCTCTCTTGGGCACATCTGATGTACAGCATACAAAATACACAGTATCGGTTAGTAAAGATATGGTTGTATGTACAAATATGTACAAAACATACATATTTGTACACCAGATTCAGATGAAATCTTCTAAATAGGTACATATTTTTAGTTGTTTTATAAGATTTTTTTTCTTTTTTAGAAATTTTCAATACTTACAGAATTGTGTTGCTTTGAGACATTTCAGTGATTCAAAATGATACATGTTTATTGTTTCAATTAATGCTGCAAGGTGGCAAAAAAAAAAAAAAAAACTTCAAACACCTCTTGAATATGAAAACTTATGTTGTATGCAGTTGCTGATTTTTGCTTTTTGATTTACTATTATTTCACAGCATTTTACAGATCACTGACACTTTTTCCTTGTGGTTTTTCAGTCACCAAACAAGCCCACTGTTCCTCAGGAGAAAATCCGGCCTCTGACCAGTCTGGACCACCCTCAGAGCCCCTTCTACGACCCAGAAGGGGGCGCAATTACTCCAGTGGCTCGGGTAATGGTGGAACGTATTGCTAGAAAGGTAAAAGATTCACCGTATATGCATATTGTGTTACTGTCAATGACATAGAAAATAGGCATGCCCATAAAACAATCGATGGTTTTATGTGCAAAAATCTAGATATTCTTTTTATGGCATAGATCTGGTCCAACTTTGAAGGATCCATAGATTAGACATTGGTAATAACTTGACTTAAAAGCGACATCTGGGAGCTACAGTCCCTGTGATCCTTATCTTTCCTCCTGTTTACAGGGAGAACAGTGTAATGTGGTGCCAGACACCATCGACGACATTGTAGCCGATATTGGACAGGAGGAGAAGGAGGAAGGTAAAGCAAAATGGACAAGCAGACGCGCTGTATTACAGCTGAGCAGAAAATGAACCCCCACACAACACAGTAGCTTTAAGATGTTTATGAAGTGTTTATTAAATAATTCAAGCCTTATTATTACTTGATTTTATATTTCCTTCATCTTCCTGGAAAATGGTTCTCTTCAGATGTCTGTATTTATTACATAACCTTTTAAATTCAACATTTGAACCTCTTTAGTTTCAACACAGAGGCTGTGTTGAAACTGAGTCTTTTAAAGCTTGAGAAAGCAAACCATGTTCACTGCAGAGACAGCTGGTTTGAGATGAAGCTAAGATTAGAGGTCAAATAGTAACTTTATAGATCTAGCTGGCCTTTGGCTTCAACCTGCTGTGTGAAGGTGGAGCTCCTGTTGTTGCAGAGCACCAGCCGTGGTTCAGGGTCCTGTCCTTCACAAATACACCCAATAAGGTTTTTTGATCTGGATATTGATAGCCCTGCACAGTAGCACTGCATAGCGGGCCTTTGGAAAGTCATACCCCTTTAAATGTTTATTTCTTTTTCTTTTTTTTTTCACAATAAAACAACAACAAGAATCTTGTACTTTACTATAAATACAAGGAAACAAATTAATGGATTCCTATGAAACAGAAAGAAAAGGATGCAGTAATTTGACAAGCAAGGAGCTGACTTCAGAAGTCTCCTAATTTGTCCACCTGTGTTTTATTTATTCTCAGCATAAGTACAGCTGTTCTTGAAAAAGTCTAAGAAACTTAAACAACATAAATTGATGAAAAAATAAATCAATAGCAAGTAACAAAAGAGACAGATTATAAAACAACATCCCAAGGCATCTCACTAAGCATTGTTCAGTCCATCATCTAAACTTGAAACCTAGCAAGAGATTGCCATCCACCTTAACATAGTGAGTGGGCAAGAAAGTATTGAACATAAAATCAGCTGTAGACACATTGTAACTCTGTACTCATTATAATTACTGTTATATAAAAAAGTGATGCAACTGTGAACATGGGGAAAAAATATGTGATTTGGGATCTGGACTGTGGTCAGCCATTTGGATTCTTCTGCCCCAGAGATGAGATTCTACATGAAGCAAACCAATTCTTGTTACTGAGCAATATTTTACAGGTACAATGCATCTGTCATTAAGGCGTGTTGTGAATGTTTTGTAATTTGCGTGACAAGAGTCTTTGATGTTTATGGTCAAAGCATCCAGTTCAAACAACTCATATTCTATTCTATTCATAGGGATATATATATATATATATATATATATATACTGTGTATTTATTAGTATTTAGATTTAAATATTTGTATGAGAGTGTGTGTGAAACTGGTGTAAAATTACCCTTTGTGTGAACAAACTAGGTCATTAGAGCTAATTAGACTCCATTTTCCCATTTTCTACTTCTTTTCAGTCAAAGTATTCAGATGTTTTTCAACCCACTGAACAACTCGTTCGATGTGTAATATTTTTCCTCTCTCAACTCCGGCCTAATACCTGTTTTTACGTGAAACGATTTTTGGTTGAGTGCAAGATTTTGCACGCAGGGCGAAAATCTTAGCAAGCATCACCGGCTGTCTAATAAATTTCTTCCCCATTGAGTCACGACCCATTTCCCTTTTTCCTGACTTTCTCTGTCCCTCTACATGTCCAGGATTTCTTTCTCGCTTCTATGTGGGATGCCTCTAAAGAGGAGAGGTTCCATTCAGGCTGCTCCCTCTGGTCAGCCCAGACCTTTAACGCTTTCACTTAACAGATCCACCCATCCCTCTCTTTAGCTTTTCAGCTCTTTTCTTCCCTCATTTTCCTTTGCCATTGTGTGTTATCCCAGGGAACTGGGTCCATTTCGGTTCGTCCCTGTAGTCCTAAAGTATATTCACTCTCACCTCCTCCTCTCATTTTCCCTGCCTTTCCAAAGTCCCAGGAGAGAAACTTTAATTGACGCTCATAGCCCCGCTGCTTCTCATACCTCTGCTTCAGCTGATAATTGGATGAGACATTCACAAATCACATTCGTCTTGTGCGTAGCCCGAGTCCCTTGCTGCCTCCTTTCTTGCTAGGATATGATTCGGGGGATTCTGGTGGTCTGCTACGTGCTGTACTCACATTTACACTCGGTGTTAAGTGATTTTCTTCATTCTCACGGCACCGGAAAGAGAAATCTGTCTCATTCACAGTGAGATAGAGTATTAATCTGTTGAGATGCAAATTAAACTTCCCACATTGACCGTTTCACCCGAGGCTTTCCCCCGAATAATGGGAAATAAATGAACTTAGTCCTTACCCTTTCATGATCTGTCCATCCGCCTTTCGTAGACGACACACCGGAGACGTGTATCTATTCTGCCTGGTCTCCCTGGTCAGCCTGTAGCAGCGCCACCTGTGACAAAGGTCGCCGAATGAGGCAGAGGATGCTAAAGGCTCAGCTGGATCTCAGCGTACCTTGCCCTCACACCCAGGACTTCCAGCCCTGCATGGCGCCGGGATGCAATATGGAGGGTAAGAAGGCGTACAAGAAATGCATGCAAAGATTTTGAAAAAGAATAAGCATTCTGTGGCAGCTTGCTGTCCATAAGTAAAATTTATGTGCATATGGAACAGCCTGGGCTTACACCGCTGAAATACAGATCAGGATAATTCTTTATTTTCTCTCATTAAACTGAAGGAAAGCAGTCTTTAATTCCCTTTTAATGGGGTCAGCTGAGCCACTTCAATACTTTGGAAATTTATGAGTTAGGCGCTGATTACACTTGGCAATAACAAATCCTAGCTGCAGCTTAGGTGTATTTAGATCTTGTAGTAAGCTAAAATTTATTTAGAATTTATGCAGTTTAAAAGTTTATTTTTTTGGCTTCTTTTATGTTTGTAATTAAACAAACATGCCCATACAACGTCAGTAAAGGTTAACCATGTGGCCCAGTTGCTGCCCACAGTTGGACCCACTGTTTTCACCAGATTGCTATTTCAACTGTGTTCTGAGTTTGGTCTGGATTTGAAGTTTCCACACCATGCCTAGTTATTTGTAGGCCAATAGTTGCATAATGGGTCCACGTTTTGACATAGACTTCCCCATTTTGGACCAACCTGAGCTTCACAATCTGTTGCACAAGGTTCCCTAAATCTCAAAATTATTTATTTAAAATCCACATTTTTTATTTCCTGTTGTTATATTTGTCTGAAATAAAAATGTTAATTTAGGTCTGATAAAAAAAAAACATGGACTGAAGAGAATACATATGTAAGTTTAAAATTACTTTTTTTCCTTTCACTGTAAATTCATATATTTCACATTTCAATATTCTGTTTAAATTGCAGCATAAAATACTACTGTCTTTGGTTAAACAAAAGGGAGCTTTGTATCATCAAAAATATCTAGCTAGAAATATTATTTTTACAATTTAGCTCATTTGGTACTATATTTTTTAACGCACTTGAATACCTAGCAATGTCATCTATAGCTTGGTTACCCAAAAGAAGAGGAGATGAGTGTAGTTTCCACAAAACATCAAAAGAGGATTACACTTACGTTTTGTTTAAGCAGCTTACAGCAGCACTTTCTTGTGTTGTAATTATCTCAGAGTTTGGGATGCTCAGGCAGATTAATGTTCAAACTAGTTCAAACTATTTTAATGTCAGGCCTTTTTGAAGATATCTCCAAAAACGATTTCTTTTCTTTCAGTGCTTTAAATCCATTCTGTGAATTGGTTCTTGAAGGTACAGGGCCAATGCTGACGTTTGAACTACCTCAGCTTTGTCTTTCTGGTGCAGAGGAGCAGATACCCTACTGAGAGCTCCTCTCCCTCCCTACACAATCTCTGAAAACGAACCTCAGCCACCCTACAGTGGAAGCAAAGTGTTTCAGCCACTTGAATCTGGGATCTCATTCTTTCAGTCACAATGGCTTTTGGTCATAGATGAACTTTGCTTTTTGCAATAGCTGTTTCTTTACCACAACAGACGGGATCAACACCTGCGTTACAACGGAGTCGTGAGCCTCCACTGTGGGCGTCCATCTCCTGCTCAATCTCACCATCATTTGTGAACAAGACGCCATGATACTTGAACTCCTTCTAACCCTTCTCCATATCCGCTAAACAAGTGGAAAATCAAGCCAAATTGCCAGTACCCTCTAAGCAGCTTTTCAAGGGTAAAAAGCCGTTCTGCTGTCCCGTGCCTTGGATCACATCAACAATTTTCCTTGTGAATCTGAGCCTTCTTTGCAATTACCTAGATTAAAGTTATTTAGAGAAGAATAAAAACTCGATCCCAAGTTGTAGTTGTCAAACAAATGTGATTCTCGAGCGCAAATTGTCATTCCATCCTGATGACTCAAAATGCTTTTTCATCAGATCAGGACAACCGCTCTTCCCACTAAGATGTGCAAAGGAGAATCAACAGCAATTTGACAAAAAAGTGGTCCTAATAAGGTCACAGATCTTTGAGGTTGATAGACAAATAATGAATGTACACAGAAATCCCATGTTGCATAAAGACTAATAACCACATTGTAAAATTGTGAGGATTAGCAGTTAAATCCCATCAGTGCTCAGCTTCTAGGATCTTTAAACAGGGATTTGATTATGTTTTCTGAGGATCAAAGAAATCAACACTCCATGTGTTCATCGTTATGTCAAACCTAACCAGAGCAAAGAAAAAAACAAAACAAAAACAACTGTCTTTTTTTCTGAAGGATAATTGGGACTAATACACACAGCAGGCAAGTTAAAAATACATATTTAATAACTCAGATCTCTGTTAAATTTCAAGGTGCTCACAAATTAACATCAGCCTTTAACTGTGTTTCTTATTTATTCTCTTCTGGCAAATTGCAAAAAGTTAATCCCCAATTTGTCAAGTTGCTTCTCTTGTCCTGCAAGGTAGAGATGATGATGCTGCTGAAGAAGCACACACATTATCGCAAAATGCCTGAAGTTTGCTTTTGTCCAATTTTTATTGAAAGCATCTGGAACAAGTGCTGAAAGGGAGTGCCTGTCTTCGCTGTCTCCTCAGGTCCCCAGTTTTCACTCCCAGGAAGTCTTTTAGTGATTAGACAAGTGAAACAGTTCAAGGCTAAAGGAGCTTCTCACAGACACCCACGCTTCTATCCTCCACTACACCCTTTATCGATTATTAGACAGCAACACAGATAGCTTTTTATTCCCAAGCACCTCTCCTTTGTTTTCATTTAGTGCTCCATTAGTGTGTGGTGGGAGATTGATAATTGTGGGGTCCATGCTGGGGCAGGATGGGAAGCAACGCTCAGGATGATTAATATTCCAGGGAAACACTCCGACTCTCTGGAGGCCCTACTGAGCTTGAGATACCTGTATCTTTTATTAATGATTCGCTTAGTTCTGCTTTATTAGGCTGCAGCTGGTAAGCAACATCAGTTTGTTGGAAGTGTACGAGAGTCAAGTGTTGTTAGTCAAAGAAAGGCTCATTTATGTTTGTCAGAGTTCATTGATCATTCCCAAAGAAAACCTCCAATTTACAAGGTCTATTCCCACATAATCATCTGCTTTTGACAGCCTCCCTTTTTACACTTGTGATACGTTATCTATTCCTATCTCAGAGGGCTTGTTTCAGTCGAAAGCAGTTAAGGTTTTACAGTGTCTTTCCACAAGCAAATAAAAGTGGGGTCGTGAAGCACCACCCTGACTAATAGTGATGGGAAAAATGGCAGAGCTGAGCCTCATTAAGCTTCGGAGGCAGCAGTTCACTATTCACCTTATCCAAGCAGAGGTCATACATATTGACTTAGGCTCTCTCAGACCCTGGCTGTGAATAGGACAGTCCCCAAGGAAAAATGGAGTTGAAGTCATTTCTGTGAAAGGAGAGCTCTTTGAAAATGCCTCTTTTAAACTTTGAGCTTAGTGAAGAGGCTGCTATCAAGCAACTGCATGGAAAATTCAGGGTGTAGGGACAGGTGTCCTGCGACCAGGGGACAAGGCACAGACATCCCTGTCATGCAGGCTTTGAAACTGTTCAATTCGGAGAGCGTTTGACTGAAAATCTAAAGGTCCCTGGTGTGATCCTGGATTCCAGCAGCATGTTTGTGCTCTTTGAACCTGCACTGAAAGCATGGGATGTATTAACAATTGACGATGACAAATGGGTTTGATTGAGTAGCAAAATGAACCAGAAACATTGCAACTGCATTTCACATGATGATCAGAATGGACATGTCCGATTCAGAGCTTCTAGCTTCGGGGTGCAATAACCATTTACCTCATGGGAGGTAAATGGTTATTGACCAAGACCAAAATACCTTCACCTGTTTTTCAAACCTTTCTTTTAACCTGAGAGAGAAAAAAAATCTATTTATCTATATTTCCTTCTTTAAACTACAGAAACTGAAGGATGAAAAGACTACACCGTGATATCTGTTTAAAGTTCTAAACGATCGTGATTCATGCTTTGAAAGGCCAAAGTTCACTTACGTCGGGGTGCCGCATGGTTCATTGCTACAGCACACACGTGTACATAGCAGCTACAGTCCTCCACAAAACTGTCGTGGTTTTCATTCCAGACTTTGGGTCATTTACTGCGCGTTTCCCTTTCTCTCCCTGACCTTCTCCCTGTGAAGCTTTTAATCAATAAAGGCCACAAATGACACAAACTTGTTAAGTCTGTCGTGCAAGTATACATTCGTACATATAAGAAGCATTTCACATGTATTCAGTAATTGAAACAGTTTGGTGATTACATTTCCTGGTTCTAAATTTTCCATAATTTTAAGATCTCGGGGACATTGTTTGTGAGATAACATATTATTTTATCCTAGTCTGAAATCATGGTGGAGGCTTTTTCAGAAGCCTGGGTCATAGTGAAATGTGGCAGATTTCTGGTCACTATAATAAAACACCTTATTTCTTTATATTTTTCTTCCAACCAGCCAGACCTTACTAAGTGTTAAAGGTGCTCATCATCAATAAGTCCACAGCCCTTCTTAATGCATTTCAAACTTTTTCTTTAAAGTTTAGCTGCCTTTGTATCTATTAGTGATGAGTCTAGACGGCTTAGAAAAAGTTGTAGCTTATTTCACTTAATGTTTTGCTTGACATTTAGGGGAAATGTCAACGCAATGTTAATAGATACCAGAAACATCTATTAACATTGAACTTCTGTATATCAGATTGATTATGTTTCAGTAAATATTGTTGACAGTAAAGGCTGAAGTGAATCACAGCTAAACAAGCAAAAAAAAAAAGTCAATGTTATTTATTAAGTAAAGTTTGCATTAGGTCAAACATACAAATCATACCTGCAGATTTTCACATCCATTCAATATCTGAACTCAAAACAGCTTCTCTGATTCAAAAGTGCTCTATTTAATATAAACATAAGATGGCTCTCATCTACAGTGATAGTTGAGGTGAACACCTATTTGACTGAGGGTGTAGCAATTAATTTTAAGAAACGTATACAGTATATATCAGCATTTCTGACTTTTTGATTAAATCCGTCTTTCTTAATTGGGCTTTTTTGTACAAAAGCACAAATATGTTTTTTTTTTTTTTCACTTTTGTTCTTTCTTCAGTTTGCAAATTTTGTCAAATAAATTTTAAACTTGTTTCGTGGATGTTAAAAATTGATATCCATAATGAAATTTAGATGACGATTAACTTACTTTGAACTAAAAAGAACACTTAACAAATGTAATTTTTTTTGGGAACCACATTTTTGTGATACCAAGAAAAGCCATTCATTACTTGTATTTTATTATATATTTTTAATGGAGTTTCATACTGTTAGCATTAATAATCAGTATATTTTGATCTCAAGTTGTAAAATCAGAAGGAAAAAAAAAAACTTGTCAAGAAAATGTTTTTTTCATGACTTGTCTGCTGTTGACGTAAAAATTTTGAGAAATATTAATTTGCTTTTGTAACACATTTCTATACAGATCTGTTCCGAGTCTCTGAGCTCAGAAGAATCTGTGTGTATTCTGTCATTTCACAGAACACACACATTTCTCTTTGTCAAATGCAAAGAGAAAAAAAATACCATGTACTTTAAAAAGTATCTGTTTCTTATCCCGATTGACAGAGCCTTCGACGTGCATGATGTCGGAGTGGATCAGCTGGTCTGCTTGCAGTGTTTCCTGTGGGATGGGGATGAGGTCCAGAGAGCGATACGTCAAACAGTATCCTGAGGACGGTTCGCTCTGTCAGCTTCAGACTGAGGAGACTGAGAAATGCGTTGTCAACGACGAATGCTGTGAGTCTGCCTTCAGTGACACAGTGCTTGTATCACTGTGTCTAGATCTTTATGTAGTAAATTAGATCAAAATAAGAAAAAAAAAAAAATCACAGGTTACATTAATGTGCCAATGATGTGCCGGTTAACAGCTCCTCTCTGTTTCCTGATAGCTAAAATTCACAGCGGTTTTTACTCTCTGGACATTTGTTGTACTTTATTTAGGTTTTAGGTGATAGACAAACACAAAGTTGAGGTGAAAATATCATATCACATGGTTTTGCAAAAACCAGAAAAGTCCTGAATTTTACAATGTTCCTATACAGTATGTAGCTCTGTTCTTCTTCACATCTGTTCTTCTGTTCATGCTGAAAAAAAAAAAAATCCATACATCTGAAGGCCTTGAATTTATACTGGGAATAAGCTGTTGATTTGTGAAACCAATTGTTTCTTCCAGATCTTATTGAGGGGTATCATTGTAAAGGACGCTAACTATAAATTCTCACCACACTTTTCAGTTTCCTGTTTGTCATAAAGTTTCCTTTCCTTCCACTTGTCAAAAATGCATTTCTTTCTTTTGTTCTTTCAAATTAAATAAAATAAATTTGAGTATTGAGGTTTAAGTCTATCGCCTCTAAACAACTGCAAGTACACTTGGAAACAGTAATTAGTTTTTTTCTTTACAGAAGTGATCCAGGAAAACATTGTATAGATTTTATAGCATAATTCTTTATAGGCCTGGAAAGAGCATGGCATCACAGAGCTGCAGGCTGGACAATCCTCTGTGCCCTCTATGCTTTTCAGGGCATTGTAAAGTCATACTTGGATTGTTTTTGTCTGTAATATAACAGCAGTTAATATAACAGTCCAAAACAGCAGCACATCTGGCGTTTGATCAACCAAAATCAGACACGTGTTTGGTCAGGTCTCATTAATCCCCACTGGCTGCTTGGATACGATTCAGGTCGCCTGCAGAGGCACTTCTGGCTCTCTACACTCTCCACTGCTATTCACACCCTGTTATTAAGCCTTATGCTCCTTTTCAATCATAATGGGTTTCTCTGAGGAACACGGTCTTGCATAAGTAATCAGTAGCAATAAGAACAGCTGGAAGAATTTCCTTACAATTCTCCCTGTCTTGATGCTTGTCTAAAATATTTAGATCTTTTTCTTCTTTTTTTTTAACCTTAGAATTTACATTTTACGGCACTAATTAAGCTTGAATCTTACTTTTACATCTGTTGTGAATAGTGGATTAATAAAGTATATTCATTCATTTACTAAAGTATTTCTTCCATCAGTGTGCACAGTGTGATATTCCGATTTTATTTTTACATTTTCTGCAGCTCTGATCTGAAATATTAAACCATTTGCTAAAAACTCAGTTCAGGTTTTTAACAGACTCTTGTGTGTGGCAGAAACGGTTCATATTTAAGAGGTTATTCAACCATCATCACTTTGTAAGTAGCTTTAATCACAAAACTTCAGATCTGACCAGGCTGTCAAAGAGAAAAAAAAAAAAAAAAAAAACAGCCTTTATGAATGTCACTGCTATGACCCATTCAGATCTAGGCATTTTGGAAACCCTATTGTTATATCCCATAATTTCTGCAGAATTAAAAAATTTAACTAAAAGAGTGAGCATTTCGTTCATTTGAGATGAAGCAAAAGTGTTTAATTTGGAAGTTCTAGTTTAGCTTTTTTTTGTTTTTGTTTTCGTTTCGCTGCCCACAGCTCCCAGCAGCTGTGTAGTGACAGAGTGGGGAGAGTGGGACCCCTGCAGCATCACCTGCGGTGTTGGCATGAGAAGACGTGAGCGCATGGTGAAGATGCCCCCTATAGACGGATCCATGTGTAAAACCGAGGTGGCCGAGGTGGAGAAGTGCATGATGCCAGAATGCCGTGAGTTCGCAGTTATTCTTACTTTTATGAGTTTGAGACAAAAATTGATAATCGTTCCTCAAGCAAAATTTAAGACCAGAGGACATCAATGCTTTTGTCCAGATTGTACAATGCTTTGCTTCCATCTTTGTGCTGTCTTGGTTCTGTTGATTTTTGAAGAAAAAAAAAAAAAAAAAAAAAAACTTTATTCAAACTGGCTTTTAACTA